AAAAAAAAAAAAAAAAAGAAATGGAGAGTGGTGATGGCTGTATAACATTGTGAATGTGCTTAATGTCACTGGATTACACACTTAAAATATAGATAAAATGGTAAATTTTATGATAAATGCATTGTATAATTCAAAAATAAAATTTATTTCATCGATAGAATGCAATTTCCAAAATATGCGACTAAATGCAAAAAGATGTAAAACAAGAGGGAAAAGGATTGGACTATATAGGTATATCCAAATTTGTAAATGCTCAGAACATTTCAGAAGGCTATAAAATAGGAAGAGTAATTTCTCTAGGAAGGGTGGCGCCTGTGGTTTGGGGGTAGGGCGCCGGCCCATACCAAGGGTGGTGGTTTCAAACGTGGCCTCAGTCAAACCACAACAAAAAAAGAGACGGGTGTTGTGGCGGACACCTATAGTCCCAGCTACTTTGGTGGCTGAGGCAAGAAATCGCCTAAGCCCAGGAGTTGGACATTGCTGTGAGCTGTGATGCCACAGCACTCTACCAAGGGCAACAGAGTGAGACTATCTCTAAAAAAAAAAATTTCCTGTAGGAAGACAAAGTAGTTGCCTAGAGGACTGAAAGGAAATGAGAGTGATTTTTCACTGTACACTTTTCTATACATTTTGAATTTTGTCCCAAGTGTGCATCATATTACCTAGCCCAAAAAAAAAAAAAAAATTTTTTTTTTTTGAAACAGAGTCTCAAGCTGTCACCCTGGGTACAGTGCTGTGCTATCATAGCTCACAGCAACCTCAAACTCTTGGGCTTAAGTGATTCTCTTGCCTCATCCTCCGAAGTAGCTGGGACTACAGGTGCCTGCCACAATGCCCAGCTATTTTTTGGTTGTAGTTGTTATTATTGTTTGGCAGGCCCAGGCTGGATTTGAACCACCAGCTCCGGTGTATGTGACTAGTGCCCTAGCTGCTAAGCTACAGGCACCAAGGTTAAAAAAAAAAAAAAATTTTTTTATTAAGAAAAAAAAGGTTCTGGCTATTCAAAGTCATAGTCCAGTATGGATTACTACTATAGGATGGGCACTAAAGCTCCAAAAGAGCTATGAGTTATGCTTCTAATCCAATCTTATTTTCATTCCTTTGCCTGGCCTTTTCATCAAACAGTGCTCACAAAAGAAAGTAAGTACAGAAGTTGTTCACATTAGATGCAGATGTTCCTTAGGAAATAAGGGAATTCTGTGTTCCC